CATTCAGTTTGGAGTTCAGGAGATTGTCTTGACCAGGACCACACCCCTAAATGCATTGAAGCAACTGCCATGTGATTGGTTGATTAGATAACTGCATTAATGAGAAATTGAACAGGTGTTCCTAATAATCCTTTAGGTGAGTGTATAATAGTCTCACATTCAGATTCGTCATCACTGGAGTTTGGGTGTGTCACATGTGCATTCTTCAGAAGATCTTATCAAAGTGTTTAGCTTGCTATTTTAAATGTTCTTAGGCCCTTGAACACAGACTAACTGATTGGGGTAATACAATTATCTTATACAACATGTCATGTCATGAAGCTACAAACTTAAATACAGCCATGGAAAAAAAGAGACTACACCACAATTTTTTGTTTCACTCATTTCTCAATTTATAGGTGTGTGTCTGTGAATAATACTTTTTTTTTGCAAACTGTATGGCATATTATTTAGCACTAACTAAATATATAACACTGTTATAACACCGTAATAACACGGTAGGATAACTGAATGTAATCCTTAGGACAATACAATGTCGCTAATTTAAACATGTTTTGTCCTCTGTGGCTGGTTTATGAAAATGTGTATGTTGTGAATGTTACAGTACAGCCTTTTCAGTTAACTCCTCAGTTATCCTTCTGTGAAATATATTTGCTTATGTTATAGCTTGCATGGAAATCCTCTCCATTATTTACTGCAGAGGCCACTACACCACAGCTTCCTGGCACTGTGAATGATAGTTTGTGAGCCATGCCAGTCATGGACCCCGAGGGGGGGCTGTGCCTTTGGTGGGTTGGGACTGGAATTTCCCTAAAGCTTAGGGGTTTTTCCCTCCTTCCTAGGCTGGATGGACAGGATTGTGTGTGGGACTCTTGAGACTCCCAAAGGGGGGAAATGTATGAAATATTATTTAGCACTTGGAGAATGTAATCCTTAGGACAAAACTATAAAGATGTAACCTGCAAAATACCATATAACCATGTAGTATAAGAATGTAGTCCAGTTATTGCTACGTGATCTAGCCTTAGAGTTTCTCTATCTGTATCTTATTTTATCCCTGGTTGTATGATATGTGCATTATTCAGCTCTGCAGCTTCTCCATGTTGAATTCTCAAGAATATAATTGGCTGTAATATGTGGCCAGTTAAAACTTCCAAAGACTGCCACTGCTCATTATAATAAACACACCTGGGGCCTCATGCATAACAACGTGCGTAGAATTCATACTAAAAATGGCGTACGGACAAAACTAGGAATGTGCGTAAGTAAGAAAAAATCCAGATGCATAAAACTATGCGTAAGCACAGATCTACGCACATTTTATAAATCCGAATGAGCGTGAAATTTTACGTATGTGAACGAGCCCGCCCATAATTATGTATATTTGCATATGTAAATCTGTATAAATGCCTGCTTTGTTCTATGTTTTTCTTAAACAACAATGCATAAACCACGAGGGAAAAAGAAGTATTTCAGCGAATGCAAAGTGGAGGTCATGTTAACAGAAATTGAGAAAAGAAAAGTGATATTATTTGGTGGTATAAGTAGCATCAGCAATAAACAAAAATTGACAGAGTGGCACAGCGTGGCGGAGTCAGTTAATAGTGTTGGTTCCGAAATTCGCACGGTGGCCGAAATTAAAAAGAAGTGGTCGGACATTAAAATTGATGTGAAAAAACAAGCAGCCACTCACCGCAAGAGTCTTAACAGCACAGGCGGAGGTAGCGGAATTCCCGGTCTCACACCTTTTGAGCAACCAGTTGCTGTGATGATTGGGGACACACTTTTATCGGAGCAGGGGGACGCCGATGTCATCGCGGGTGAGTTTTTCTTGTACCATACTTGTTTGAATTACTTGCATGTTTATGAATAACACGTTGGGCGCAGATGCGGTGTTAGTTTCGTTTATTCTGTTTGTTTATTTTTACAGACAACAGTACAAGAGGTGCCCCCAATGCATTAATAGAGTACATTAATAGAGTGAAAGTGCTTTCTATTTACATAAGCATAAGCAAATTCGTTCTCTGAAGGTGACTTTATAGCAATGTTTAATATTTGCCTGTTCAACCACAGGAAATTTTATATATCTGGGTGACAAGCGAATTATGTCGTCCCATACAGCCGGCATGGCACGACTCAGTGTTGACTGAGAAATACCCGATCGGTCCGTAAGTTCTCGCTGAAAAGCACCTGTCGCTAAGTACCCGCAAGTGGACATAACTTGTAAAGGAACAGGTAGCCTATAGCG